ACCCTCCCCCTCTCATGCTCTCTCTCTCTCTCATTCTCTCTCTCAAATAAATAAATAAAATCTTTAAAAAAAAGATTTAAAAAAAAAAATGATTCCAAGGAAATAAAATGTACTTGTGTCCTGGGTCACAGTAGACATGTAAGTAATGTGTTATGTGCATGAGTATAAGCATGTGCATGTGTGTGTATTTCTGAAATGAAAATCACAAAGCCTTACTGAGTTAAGGAGTCTGATCTATTTTGTTTTGTGCTCATAACCCACTAAAGGGTCAAGATCTACAGTTTGAAGAGTCCTGCAATGTGGAAGGAATGTTTTAGTAGGAGTGAGAAACCTGAGTTCTTTGCTAGCTCCACTTTTGAATAGAAAACTTTGCTCTCACCAGCAAACCAAGGTGATAAGATTAAATCGATTATTTCCCTGGCCTGTGTTTCAATCTATCTTCAAGGATTTCCACCTTGACGCTGGTTATTTTTCCTCATCAGGTAATCAGGAGAAGCAGTGCATTGCTCCCCCATGTGCAGGACTGACTGCCCCCACATACCTCCTATCGCCTTACCTCCTTATCTGGGTCTATTTTTAAGGGGCAGCAGTACTGTCAGCTGCTCAGCCCAGGGGCCTGACTCCATCCACAGATCGGTCCCAGCAACAATGCTGGTTGGAGATGTCCATCCCCAGGGTCCACCCCAAAGCAGTATAACCTGACAGGGTTAAAACAAGTAAGCACAGTATTAACATGGATTTCTGGTGACATCTGTTGTGTTTTTAATGCCCCATCCCATCAGACTTCTAAACCGTAACAGATCTACTTTGAATTCAGGGCAAGCTTTTTACATGTGGAACTGGAAACTCTGACCGTATCTGGGGGCAAAATTATAAACATTCTGAAAAGAGTACAAGCTTTCCAGTTCATTAAAATAAGAGAATTTATTTACTTGCAGAGAGAAAATGCTGACTCTAATCCCAAAGTGCTTTTGAAAATCAAAACATTCTCCAAGCTTTATGGTAAATTCTTAAATCAGAAAAATGACTATCTGTATTTCTGTGTATGCACTAAATAAACATACATATATACACACCCACAAAACTCTACCATGCTGATGTTAATAAAGGAAGATTCCTATGAAGGAAGTTTGGATAGTATAGCTAAGTAAGGAATTAAAACTGAGTGACATACATCATAAGGGCTGCAAGTGATTTACACTTTTCTACCCCCAGGATTCTGTGACAGGGCACGTGTCTCAGCGGACAACCAGAAAACCCAACACAGGACCATTATGCACCTACCTTCTCCACTAAGGAGAAAAAAAAGGTAATGCTGTAAATATGCTTCCATTCCATTATATACTTTTTCACTACACAGGACCAGATATTTACTTTTTAATAAACTTGAAAGAAGCAGGCAATGCAGGCTAATGGATAAACAGAAACCACAAAGGATTATTGTTAGTATGATTACCTCCATAGATAAAAATTAGAGAAAAGATTACATAATGATTCTGTATTTTTCTCCTCCAATAGTGATAATATTATAAATTCTCTTGCACCAGAATTCTTTAGCACTTCCCTTTTTACAGTCTAGGCCACACCTTAAGAAATACATACTATGCCACCCAGAATAGTATGTGTCAAAATTTGGCAAAACTTCTGAGTATTAACACTATAATAACATAGAAGCCATCAGATCACATTTCATAGTTTTATTGAGACTTTTTCATTTGTCTATAGTAGGTACAATTCTGATGATCATGATCATATCAAAGCTCTCCTATTATAAATAGCAGATAGTAAGTTGGCCACATGCCTTAGACACACACACACACAAACACACGATATTGTACACTCCTGCATGCAAACTTAGAGGAAATACACATTCCTTTTATTAAAAACAATTACGTACAATAAGTCTGGAATTTGTTAAGCTACCAATGATTTAGATAAACCTGAGAAGGCTCAAAATGTCAAGTAACACTGTTTCCATAGTGTTCATTCAATGAAACTGTTAATCACAAAGAAATCTAGTTCAACTATATTAAAATCACAATATAAAAATAAACATTTTTGCAAAAACACTAAACATACTAGAATTCAAAGTCACAAATTTTGATATGTAACATATTCCCCTTCATATTAATTTGTAATGATGTGTATAATACAATGTATGACATAATAAAAATTGTAACAGAGTTCAGCAGCCAAATCATTTACAGTTATCACTATAAAACTTGAAATTAAAGTTACCAACTGAACAACAAGAACATTAAAATAGCAGTGTTGAACTTGCTGGTAGCATGTTACTTAGAAACTACATCTCAAAGAACTCAAGATTATATTCTTTCACCTTAAGAAGAAATACAACACAAAAATGTAAGCAGAACTGAGGACAGTAAGGGATTGTATCAGCTGCCTCTTTTCTCTCTCCCCCATCCCCCCTAGTTTTTCCTCAAATTCTAAATCTATCTATAATGCCCATCCCTTCTGACTTCTAAAATGTAAGGGATCTACCTTGAATTTAGGACAACCTTTTGCATTGGAATTGGAAGTTTCAACCATATTTGGAGGCACAATTCTAAGGGTCTTGAAAAGACAATATAAACTTTTCTATGTCATATAAAATATAGACAACACAGACCTAGCCTGGCAAAGATATTTTGTATTTACTATTGAGCTTATGATAGTTTGATACCACAGTGTGTCTGTATAGAGAACCCTAAGTAAAAAGGTAAACATGCAAAAGCACTTCTAGAGAAAATTAACCACCTGTATCACAAAACATTCATATTTTAGATCAAAAAAATCTTCAAACATTTCAAGATACGGGTATTTGAAAAGCAAAATATACAATAACTCATTTTATCTATGCATCACATTACATAAAATACACTAGTGTGACATATTATACATTGTAATAAATATAATTTACATCAGCATATTTGATCTTTCAAGAAAGCCTTTTAATCTGTACAACTGAAGAACTGTGAGCTTCATCAATAAATACGATTATGTTAGTTGTAAATTGACCAGCTAAGTTAAAGCTTCAGGAGATCCCTAACTACGTATATATCTTCATTTTCCCTAGTCCAATTCCAGCTGTTATAAGCACAGACATCTCTTGTATCCAAAAGCAGTTTACCGTACTGTCCGAGTAGATTGAGAAAACTTACAGGTCATAGATCCAAATCATAATTGGTGAACTTTGTGAGAATTTCTAGCCCAGGACTGCAATGGAAGAGTCCTGGAAAGTACAGTAGCAGATTTCATGCACCTCTGGCTGGCTGTAGTTTTAATGTTCTACCACATCCTCTGAGGTCATCTAACCTTTTTAATCCATGGAGAGTGGTGTTGAAAGAGTCAAGAGTTCCACAGTTGGCCAAGTGGCAAGGTCGTGTTTTTAATGCTGAATCCTACTCTCTGCTGTATGTCTTCTTGGTTTGTGTTTATATCATTTCCATGCAAATGCATAGTGATGTTTAAAGAGTCAAAGACACCAATTGGTGAGCCAAAAATACCTTAAACTTGGCATAAGAATCGTTTTGTAGTGTGAAATTTAGTTAACTGATAAGTTCTATAATTTTAGCAGTTTTTTCATCAAAATGCCAACAGATTTCTGCTTTTACTATTAAAATACCTACTTACATCATCACATGTCATCAGATTTCCAGCCAGTAGATCACTGCTTCATCTTGATCCTCTGTGTGTTTTTGCCATTAGCACAGACTCTTCCTGGAGACCTCTTTGTGCCTAGAAGGAGTTGGGCAAGATCATTCTTGTTACTATTTGGCATGTATTCACACATTGTCATTGTCCACTACATGACGTATGAAGAAGAAACACTGGGAAAAAACATGCCAAGAAGTAAAAGGGCATTTCTAGGCACTGTCCACTTCACTGGTCCACAGTCCAAAAGAAAGTTCTCTGGGAGCTGAAACACAATGTATGTAACATGTATGGTAAACCAGGCTGGCATCCTGAGACCTAAAAGGAAGAAAACTAAAGTGAATGGTGAGGAAATATTATAGAAATGTATACCATTAGCTTATGAGTTCAAGGATGGCACAGGCTTTGAATTTCCATTTTGGTTAATGTAGTGATAATAATCTTGCGTCACTGAGCATGATGTTTGACAAGGATCGTACAGTAATGACATATTTTATACTTTTCCTTTTAGGATTCCACACAGACAATGAATGCTATAGAGGACCCTAACTGAGAACCTTAACTAATCTCTTTCCTCAAAACAAGGTGGTGTAGGTTAGACAGCCAGTTATGGTTTCTTTTTGATTTGGCTCCTATAATTCTGTGCATTAACCCAAACATATAAAAAAAAAAAATCACTTTTAGTAAGGCTTAACACTGCTTTTCTTCATTGATTTTAGGGGCCAAAGACTGGATAAACTGAAGCAAGTCTAAGAAGAAACTGAAGGTCTCACAAATCCACAGGCCACCCAGATACCACAGGAGCTGATTAAGTCCTGACTGTCCTGTCGCTGTGTCCCAGAGGTGTTCTTGCCTTAAGACAGACTCCAAATTGCTTTACTTACAAAGTGCTTTCCAACAAGTTATTCCACCACCAGTTGCAAACTCTAATGCTGGCTTTTTTGAGGCCAGTTTTGACAAAAATTCCTTTGATACTGTATTTTAAAGTTAAAAATCGTGTTACCTTATTATTCTACATCCTTAGCATTTGACCATTTCAATGGCTAGAAATGCAATAGTCAATATTATTCATTGAAATTCAATATTCATTTAAAACTCTTATTAAAGTTACTGAAATATTTAGTGAAGTTTTCATTACTGCCTGGCAGAGGGGGAAAAAAACAAAAAAACTGCCCAGTAGTCTTCTCTTTATTAGTAGTCGGATTTGGAATCTCCCCAACTTTTTAGTGCTGTGGTACCTTATGTACCACATAAATTTAATTCTCTGTATTTCCCGTTCCCATATATTTGCAGCTTTTTTTCTTTTAAATGTGAGGATATAAGATCCATTATAGGATTATAGCTTTTCATTCTATCAACACAACCTGTACAAAGTCTGTTTTTTTCATATTGCATTTAATGTTTTCTGACATTTTGAAGAGGCAAAAGAGGGCCTTTATAGCATTTTAAAGTCCTTATTCTAAAACTTTCTCTAAAAACAAAAACAAAAAAGCCCCATCTTTTCCCCACTCCTTGTTGCCTCATACATTTGAAAATATGTTTGCAGCCTATGCATCATGAAGGACTATTAAATATTCTCCCTCTGATAATATCATCCTCTTGGCCAACATTCTTCGACCCTGGTCTGTAATATATCTGATTTTTTACATTGTCTTTGCAGCTTTCAGTGAGCATTTGTACTGCAACAAAGACTCCTAAGGCAGTGCACAGCCGTGGTGCAAGTAAATGTTCTTTATCACAGGAAGTCTAAGAGTTCACAGTGTTTACAAGGAAAGTACATGAACTTTGATTTTTCCAAATGCAATTTGCCTGTAAGATAATATATGCAGACTTCCACCACCACATATCTAGCACCTAAGTTTTCTAGAAGTGACTGGGTAATAATCACTTTCTAGGTTTTTAAATTCATTGACTTAATTTTCTATTCAATTCTCCAAAGAAACAGCCTGCTACCACCTATGCTTCTAGGACCAAAAGAGACACCCAGCTGAGATCTCTTCACCTGAATGGAGTTTAGTATTTTTGCTATACTTTGAGAATGTGGAGTCTGTTCCTACCATAGATCACTGAAAACTCAGTTTCCTTGGAGAAATTATTAATATCAAAATAGCTCTAGTACTCAAGTGCACTTTAAACAGAAAAGCTTGTAAATTTTAAAGACAGATAAGAAAGTAAATGTTTAACTAGGATAGTATAATTTTATTTTACATACTTCTGTTTAGAAAGGGAGGCCTTGAAAGTGAACCCAAACAAGCCAAATGTAGGGGTGGGTGTTTTAATTTTTTTTTTTTTAAACTATTTTCTTGGACTTCGTTTTCTCTAAGCTTACTAGAAACTTACTTAAAGGGGGAAAAAAGCACTTGGCTCTATTAAGCATCCTACCATGTTACAAAAGCGGGTGTTCGGTGATTCTTGCATCCTCACAAGCTTGTATCTCCATTCTGCTTGAACTCAGATAAAATATTCAGGGTCATGTCTTCACTCTTGGATTGCAAATTCGCCTCACTTCTTCTGGAAGCTTTCCTAGTGGCTCTGGAGAGTCTCCTCCTGAAAGTATCTCCTGCCAAGAAATAGAGAATGGGGTCCACACAACTGTTGAGACTTGCTAGACCTCTTGTCACCTGATAAGTGGCATAAACCCTGTCATTGAAAGCACACATTTCCGGGGTCTGAAAATCCAGCCGGGCCCTCAAATTCATCGTTTTCATCACATGGAAAGGGATGTAAGAGACAGCGAAGACAGTCAGTACAATAATCACCAGGTAAATGGATTTCCTCCTCAGAGGTGAGTTGTCCAAATCGTTGTAGATCAAAGCCCTCACAATTAATCCGTAACAGCCCAGAATCAATACCAAGGGGACACAGAACATGGCCACGGTTGTGCACATGCTGTAGATGAAATAACTCCGCAGGTACTCGTCGGAGGTGGTGTCGTAGCAGGTGATGGTTTTGTTTTTCCGGACCTGGGTGCCTGAGTAGAAGAAGATGGGGGAGATGCCCACCACCACGATGAGCCACACCAGCACGCTGATATAGACCGCGTTCTTCTTCTTGAGCCGGCCCAGAGACTTGAGCGGATACACCACGCCGCTGTACCGGTGCGCGCTGATGCAGGTTAGGAACAGGATGCTGCCGTAGAGGTTCACATGGAAGATGAACCTCTGCAGCTTGCACATGGCATCCCCAAAGATCCAGTCCGTCTTATTGAAGTAGTAGAAGATGAGCGCGGGCAGAGTCAGCACGTACAAGAAGTCGGCCAGGGCCAAGTTGAACATGTACACGGAGATGCCGCTCCACGGCTTCATGTGGAAGACGAACATCCAGATCGCCACGCTGTTGCCCAAGAAGCCGATAAGGAACACCAAGATGTAGACAGCCGGCAGGTAGTAGAACTGGAAGCCCGTCTTGGTCAGCGAGCATGCGAACGAGGCTGCTGCGACAGCAGCGGTGGAGGCTGCGGTGCTGTTCCTCCAGGGCAAACCCTGGCCGGCCAGGAAGGTAGCGTCCGTCCCATTGGGGACAGCCGGCCACAGCACCTCGGTCATTCTCTCCTTCCCCGACTTACGCGGCGGCTCCTAGGGGCAAGTAGCGGCGAGAGGGCGGCAGCGGTGAAGGGCGCGCCGAGCATCGGAAAAGCGAGGGAGCGGAAGGGAGCGGGCGCCTGGGAGCCCCACCGGAGGGGACACACACGGGCTCACCCACACCGGCTCCAGCCCCGCGTTCGCCGCGGGCCATGAAATCTGCTCGGGGCCGCGACCAAGCCGGGCTGGCTGCCGGGCCAGCAACTTCCCCGTCCGGCTGGTCAGTGCCGAGGTTAACACCACCGGGCGCACAAGACACGGCCACCGACAACTTTCTGACTGCCCTTTCCCGAGGGTTCGCGGGTCCTCACGGGAGAGCGGAGACCGTGCTGGGGGTTCAGCGAGGAGGTAGAGCCCAACTCGCAGTACTGCGTTCCGGCATGGGGAAGGCACTCCCCAGCCTTCTTGCCCCAAAGATCAACTTCCTTTGGGCATCTTCTTTCTCCCTACCTTGAAAGCAAGCAGCTCATTTCAGGGGGCCCGCGCTGCTTCCTTCTCGGTCCCTGCGCTCGCTCAGCCTCTGGGGGCCATCGGAGCGCGCGTTACTGCAGACCCGCGCGCCCCTGGATCGCGTAGTGTTCACCCTCAGTGCAGCTCAGGGCCCCTCCTCAAGGCCCTGCTCCGGGGAGTGCGGGGGGCAGGCGGCTCCCCGCGAGGATGGGCGGGGTTTGGGCACCCGGGTGAGTCCGGGCTCCCAGGAGACTAGGGGCGTGCCTCGGCGGAGCCAGCCCGGCTGCCCGCCAGAGCTTTTCAGAGAGTCCGCCTGGAGCCGGGGGAGTCTTCTATGGAGCAGATCTTCACGGTGCCCGGGAGCGCTCAGCCTCTGGCCCTCCGCTGCTCCCAGAGGCGTGGAGGGTGAGGGGGCGCCTGGTCCGCCTGGCTGCTGGGGAGCGATTGGCCCGTGAGCGCTCTTTTGCTCTTCCGCCAGCTATCCGGCAAAGTGAAGTTGCTGACACACAGGAAACCCTTCTGACTGCTCACAGCCCTTGCCTACAACCCTAGAGCCCACGGGTCCAAGACAGAAGTCTCTAGGGCCCTTAAGAACCACGCCAGGTGTCTGCAGGTTCCAAGCAGCCAGCAGTCTCCAACGGGGAACGCCCTGCTGGTGCAGTGCTCCTAGCTTCACGGAGACCAGATTCCAAGCACTTGCTGGAACGTGCTACTTCAAGAGAGCAAGAGCTTTCGAAGGGTGGGGAGGGTTGGGAGGGAAGTAGGGAGAGAGCCTTTCTGCCCTTCTAATCTGCTTTTTACTATTTCAGTATCTTTTCTTAACCAAATTTCAGTCAACTGAGGTTATTGGTAACTTATTTTCTAAAAGGGCCTTGTAAGCATATTTGTCAGTACTTCACATTGCCTAGGATAATTTATCTTGATACCTACCACCTCTGGGCAACACAAGGTCTCCAAATCCTCCTGTCCAGTACATTTCAAGATCAGAGGCTGCACCATATTGTTTTAGAAATAACTTAAATCTTAAGTACAGCTTTATATAGATAGATGTAAAGGCCAATTGCAACTCTAAAGTGATTAAGGTATGATTTGGGGGTTTTATTACCAATCCTATTTCTTTAGGTTAAAGTGATTAGTCACAATTAGCTCTAGTAAGTACCTTAGCAATGTAGGTTGGGAATTCCTTAAACATCATATGTATTGAAAAACTCATTTCATGGCTTGAATGTATCAAAATTTTAAGCAGTGCACTTCAAAATTATATTTAATTGGAAAATAAATGAATTATTAACTTTTCAGGGAAATGTTTAAATGGGCTCACACAGGAGTGGAATCTAGCACTTCTAGAAAATTGACTAATATTTTTTATGTTAAAGGCTTTTCTCTTAGAGGAAAAAGAAAATCCAAAAGAAAAGCTCTATAAAATATATACCACAAAGATTTCTTTCTGGTCCCAGATGTTACGTGATAGTGTTCTCTTAAAAAATACCCAAAGGAAAACCACTAGCTACTGGCTTTGATATCACAGGAAGATTCCCCACAAGACTCAGAGGGTCCTTTAGAGGAACACATAAAGTACCCTACTCAAATGCATGACATCATGAGCACACTGGTATTTTGAGTTGTGGTCAATTTAACAGCATGAAAATAAAACTAGAGTAGATAACTCAAAAGGGCATGATTATTATTTTGAAAACAGTCTTAATTGAAAGGAATGTTTTCTCATCTATTAAATGAGGGAGGTGGATTTTATTATCTTTTTTCACTCCAATCTCCAAAGTACGGGATTCTATAATTCTGAGGCTTAACGTGAAACATTTTCATCTGGTTTGATTAGAATGGTACTAACTGGGATGATAGTCTATTAAGAGAGGAGCAAAGGAAACCATTAAGAATTTCTTTGGTACTCAATAGGTCTTAAGGCACTCCTTTGCATTTTTCATTTGCAACATAAGCAATATGTGACCTCACTTCAAGTCTGTTCCAAATGTGTTAATTCACTGCGTTTTAAAAGGTAGTTAGTCCAGGGGCACCTGGGTGGCTCAGTCATTAAACCTCTGCCTTAGGCTCAGGTCATGATCCCAGTGGAA